CTTAAGGGGAGATGAGAGTTGAAAAAAGCAAGTTTTTTCCAAAGTTACTTATATTTTGTTTTTTATTTGCTTCCACAAGTTTAATTTCTCCTCTTTCACAATAAAAAAAAAACTGAAAATTTTAATTAAACTTGAAGTAGGTTACAACCACCTTTAAAGAGCACAAGGTGGATGGATAGATGAACTTTATTTGGTCCTTCGGAATGTGCTAAAGCACGTTCTGGGTCGCTCTGACATCGGAACAGAAAGACCAAGTCTCTCTGCTGCGTCACGGGCACAAGGTAGCTACTAAAAAATAAAAGGAGCTCATTGTCTAAAGTTCCCCGGAAATTGTCACCTGGCTGCTTGCCATTGCATTTTGCATGAGCAGTTCACTAAAGCCACATGCTCAAAACAATAATGATTGCCAAGCTTGCATGATGGAAGAATTCACTTTAAAAACATACCTTTGCCCCATAGGTGAGCTTTGACTTATATGTTTAAAATGCTTTTTTTTTTTCATATCTGTCTTTGGGCAATTTTTTGAGATTATACATGTTTTTGGCACTTCTGATAGCCAGGCCAGGATTAAATTTTGCTCTCATATTCCTTAACATGTGAAGGGTCCAGTATCTCCTTTAAAACTTGATATTGCCTGTATAATTATTACAAAGCTAATGCAAGCAATTAGCATGGGCTGAGAATTTTAAGAATTCTTATATTACAATTCTTCTTGTTGATTAAAATTTTTTTTATACACACTTTCTTAATATTCATTTGCATTCTACAGTTAATGAGGAGCAATATGAGCCATTAATGACTTGGAACCATAAAAGTTTAGTGGCGTAAAAAGTTTGTCCATAACAAACAAAATGAAAACTGTTCAACTTACTACAAAATTAGTACACATTTGAAATCAGAATAAAAGCTGTTGTATGGAGCAAAAAAATTTGTTGCACCAGCCTGCAGATTCACAATTCTTTTTTTTTTCGAAGCGCATCTTTCTTTAATATTGCAATGCTACCCTAGAGACCTGGGCTGGTATTTCATTGTGATATTTTATGCTCGATTCTTGGCTAGCCTTATCCTGTACCACTCATGGTTGGCTGATCATGTTGATAACATCTCTCTGACCGTGTGTCAACAATGAAAAGCACAACTAGGCGTTAGCTTTGTAAAAGGAATCGCCACCAAATACCGGCCCTGTTGATTTTGAAACAGATACTCATGTATGCATTCTGAAACTTGTGCACAATTCAAAATTCTACTTATGCATAAAATCTGCCAAGAAATTCTTGCTTGTTCTTCAACTAAGCTGTTTTTATCTGCCGTGAAGTTTGTGGTGTATATTCATATCACAAAACCGTCCCTAGTTTCTTGATGCTTTACATGTTGTGCATGCTGGCAGGCCTTTACTTAAGGAAATTGAATTTGGGGCTTAAGGTAATTAAGAATAGTGCTCTTATGACCTGTATGGTATGCTGTACTATGACCACCTTTTCAAGTAATCTCGCTGATTACTTGAAGACTACTTCAATCACAGGGTTTGCCACGGTTATAACTATGCCTTAAGCGTTCAAAAGCACTAATGTTGAAACTCAATACTATAATGTAATGATGATCGCACTAGAATTATTTTATTAAATCAGGAAGTTCATAAAATCAAAAGAGGGATTTTTTAGTGCCTTCAAATAAAGAATTTTAATGTAACAATGCTGAAATGCTGTTACAACATCGTGTTTGCTGCAAAGCCATGTGTGAGCGTGAGTAGTCTGGAGGAGGGGGGAGGGGGCAGCTTGGACATGAGATGCAATTTGGGGGATGCTAATGTGAAGTTATGATGAATGAGAGCAATCATCAAAGTGTTCTTATAGGAGCACTAAAGGAACACTAAAAAACCTCTTCCCCCAGTGAAAATCTGTTCCCCCAGTGTAAACCTGTTGTTCCATGCATGGGCGCCGCCTGCAGCCTTGTCAAGATAAAGCTAGGATTGTGAATTCGGTGGCTAGTTGTCTTAAATTTAATCTTGATAGCATTAGAAGTGTATGCCTGAAAATAAAACTCATTGGTGTCAAACTTGGAAGAAAAAAATCGCTGCATTTCAAGCTGCTTGAAGATAATTACGGGGCGAAGCTTTCGGAGGTGATTATTGTGATTAAAGTTGAGATAGTACTGAGACTGATTGTGGTTGTTACGGGGCGAAGCTTTCGGAGGTGATTATTGTGATTAAAGTTGAGATAGTACTGAGACTGATTGTGGTTGTGATACTTATATATTTTTTTATTCAAAGAGATAGTGCTGAGACCGATTTTGATATAGCGGTGATTCATCTTTATAGCTGATATGAGGTTCCGAGTTCTGGGTTACGTTTTGACTTCATAATCACAGCTTCATTAGCTATCGTCTCTGGTGTAGAATTTTCGTGTTGGTATTGCCGCCTTGCATCCGCTTCAAGTTGTCTCAACTGCGCGTCAGCTTGGCGTTTTTACTGCTTAGCCTTTGCTTCCTTAGCCCTAGTCGGTGATGTAGAACTTTGTTGTCACCGTCGCCGCTTTGCATCCGCTTCCTTCTCTTTTGTCTCCGCGGTAGCTTCCCGTCGACGGTACGCTGATACTTAGCACGTCGCGCTTTCCGGCGTTCGTCTTCGTTCATTGAGAGAAGAGGATGTGTGGTATGGAACGTGGTTATATATATATATATATATATATATATATATATATAGCATTGACAGGAGCGCCATCACATCTACAATTAACCACAGCGCCCTCTGTTGCTTATAAGCCGAAGTTTACATGCAAAACGGTTACCACCAACGCCCTGTGTTGCTTATAAGTTGAAGGTTACATGGTGTTACGGACATACCGGAGACGGCGGACATCGTTAGGTCTTAAGGAGCTTCGCCCCTAAAAAAAGTTTTTTTTACTGATTTTTTTCGGGCAAATTTTATTAAATTGGGTTTGTGCCAACTAAGCTATTTAAATTTGAGTTGATAACAACATTGAACCCTATGGGCACCTTCAAGAGAATTTGTTAGATCAGGGACTTCCTAAAATGAGTTTCGTCATTTTCGTCAAGTGCGACAAGAGTTACAGGGATTTATCACACGCTTGAAACGCTCTCTTTCCTTTTGTGTCGGCAAGCACACTGAACCCTACGCATAGGCGAAATGAAACAGGGGCCAGGAGCTACGGTCATTTGCCAGTGTGCAACGGCACCTTGGTCTGTATATTTTTTTTTCTTGAGATGCACAGCTTACTTTCTGTGTGATCCATGAACGTGGGCACATGGTGGTGTCCCATGGCAGCAGTGGTAACTACGCAACCCATGATACTGTAATGAGCCAATGGTCGTGGACTTTGAGTTTACGACAGCATCATTTTAGTCTATGGCTGGGGTCTTAAACACGCGGCCCGCGACCTATGTTTGTTCCATGTATTTTTTTTGAAATTTTCTTAATAAGTTTGTTCATGTGCTACTTGGGAATGACTGGGCTAAAGCACTCTTCTCGTAATTCGTCCCATGTGGTCAGCATGTGTCGAAAGGCTGAACCATGAAACAAGAGCAGTAGTTCAGAATCTGCGTCCAAATTTTATTCATTTTGGGGATCGCTATCGACATGTTGTTAGAAGGAATCCTGACCCCAAATCTTCTTCAAATGTGACTCGTACATAAGATGTGGGAAAGGATTTCTTTTTAGTGGTAATGTTTCCAAATAATGTGTACAAACTACCACCCCTTTTCCCCCCACCTGTTTTTACATTCTTCCCTCAACTGACTGTGGGACAAGATTTTGTGACCGCAGCCTACTGCCTGAGATGTTGCCAGTCAGCGCCTGTGTCTTGTGTTTCCTCGGTCCGTCCTCGTCAAGTGCTTGCTCTTTTCGCCTCGGTATCAGCAACCAACTGGCTTGAGATGCGTTATGCGAGTTTGAGACTCCTGGTGTATGGCATCATTTGTCAAGTGAACAGGGAGTGATTTCTAGTTTACTTTGAGACTACATTATAAAGTCTAGGCCATGTCCTGCATTATAATGTTTTGTTGAGATATTCTCAGGAGCCTCAACAGAAAACGGAGGCATTGTCTTACCATGCTCAAAAAGTGTAGCAGGGTCCCTTCAAATGTCTATCAAGAATAATTGACCTGAACTGCTTGCCTGCTCCATAAGCACAGCTATTAGACTCTGTTAATCCCACAGACACAGCAATTCTTATGAGTACCAAATTTCTTTATGGCTTTTAGAATGTAAATTTTTATAAACAAATCATGATTTGCCCTGAACATTACTTATTTATTTATTTCAACATAATGCAGCCCCGCAGGAGCAGGCAAATACATACATAGAAGAGCATTAGTGCGCTCTACATCAATGGTTAGTGATATACAATAAATATTCATCCAGTGATAAAGATCGAACGTAACCAGGCAAAGAATTCCACAATTCAATAGAATGAACAAAAAAACTATATTTAAACGCCATCGTACGATGAGCGAAGGTAGACATGTTTAACTGATGGTAATTTCGGGTGGTCGTTGGTCCAGCGTGTGCTATGTATTTGCTGAGTAAAGGAAACCGTGGGGAATTAATTAAGGTATAAAGAAACTTCAAACATTCAATGTGTCGACGGGAAGATAGACTGGTGAGCTGTAAGATAGGAAGACGGGAACTTGGTGAAATATACCTGTCAAAGCGACGATAAATGAAGCGTACAGCTTTCTTCTGAAAGCTGTACGCTTCATAGTACCCTTCATGGTTCATGATTCACATGCTTCATTGAAATGGTAAAGTTGAGTTATTATTTCCATAATGATTGTATATCCAGTCCATTATGCTGCAACAGTATATGTCAGGCAAAACTTGAAACTGAATAGCTATGGACATGTGTTAATTGTGGTTTACATAACTATTAAATATGAACTTCTTATTTATGATGCCATTTCATTTCTTTTACTCATCTTTGTACATGTTTTTTATTTGTATTTTTTGTTTTTGATGACAGTTTTGCATTCTTTTTGGTTGTCAGTGGGGCTGTCATAAAGCCTGAAGATAATGCCGGAGCAAAAGCAAAGACACAGCAGCCAGCAAGACGTGGCAGAGAAGAACTTGCTGAACCACGTACCGAGCGTTCATACCGGTTTATTTGTGGCCATTGTCAGAGTGTTTCAGTGGTGAGTGTGTATATGAAAAAGTGCATTTGCGTCGGTGGTTACCAAAAAGGGTGTTTTAATCCTGCAAGGCCTGCAAGGGAACTCATTTAATAGTGTTCCTCAAGGTACATTAGTGAATATCTCTTGCACCCTACTCCGGTAATGTTGCTACTGCCTGACTAAGCAAAATAAATTGAGGAGGCTGGCTAGTAATATGAAACACAGATAACTGGTGGTGAGTTAGTACAATGGAAAAGGTACCTAGCCATGTGGGATGTACTCATGTTATTTGCATGACAAACTAAAAGTTTAATTTAGATAACAAATTGTGCTGTAATAAATTGCAACTACCATAAAATGCCGAGCAAGCGCCCTCTTCTCTTTTTCGAGAGATCTGAAATAAGCGACCATGACCGAGAACGCCCCCTTCCCCTTCTTGTGCTTCGTGTGCCAGGCTTGGGCAGTCATTTTGGCAGAAACAGTAACTGCAGGGGTGCGACAGCTGCATTAACTGCGGCAATTTAATAAATTCTTCATTCTTGCGCCAAAAGCATGAAATTTGCTGAAATTGCGCCATGCTGTGCTGAAATGCCCGACCAGCCTCGAAGTTTTATAATTGCGCTAATTTCAGTGAGAACCGGCGACCACATTGGCTATCTGATCGCCGTTTCCATCATCAATCAATCCAAGCGCGCAGACCCTAACACTAAACAACGGTGCAAAATATATCTCAATTAGGTCAAAGCACATACTCAAGACACGCGATCGACCAGATAAAGTAGCAAAGCCACGCGCCATCGGTCTGCTGGCCGCTGTGAATACCTATCGGCTTGCTTGGCATTTTAAGGTACATATTTAAACTTGAAAATTCCAACCAACTAAGAAGGAAGTCCTAGTTATCTTATACATACGTCTTGAGATTAAGATTTATTTCATACGCTTGTCCCCAAAGGTTGGTTCATTTTGTATTGGTTTGTGTAACATGCTGTATTGTTTTGAATTTTTATTCACTTGTATTGCAGTGTCATTGTAAGTTTTAATCTTGATGTAATCCTTGCTCAGGTGCTGTCAGGTGAGGAGTTTATCATCACTTTTAACCAAGCACAGCTGTTGTGTAATGATGGAAGTAAATGGAACTAAAATTTTATGTTACTGTTATTGTTGCAAACTCTTAAGCAGGTAAACTATTAGAGTTGTGAATTTTCATGAAACTGTGGACATCACTGCTATGTATACTTAGTATAACATTTTGCATACTAAAGGCATATTCATACTGAACGTGGAGCATGCTAACAGGCTAGCAGGTTTTCAAACTGGAGAGGCAGCCAGGGCACGTTGTTGTTCAGGCCTTGCCTTCTGCTCGCTTCACTGCGGGGGCAGAGCAATCCACCAAACCATGGTAGCTGTGTCATTTTACATCACTACACGATGCTGCGCGCACGCTTTTGGGGCAATGATTGGTCATGGCCAAAGTGGCCGCGGGTTTTCTGTTTTTGCGGATAATCCGCACTAACTTTCCGGATCTGTCTCTTTGATTTCTGGATCAGTGGTCGGTGTGAAGGTGCCTTGATGTGCTACTATCGGTACTAGTATGAATATTTCTACTAAGATGACATGTCTTGACTAAGGCTCAACTCCACGATTACCAGCATATCAAGTGAATAACTAAAAAGTTCAATTGTGAATTTTATACATTATGTCTATCTTGACATCGAATGTTCTGCTGATTGTGATGTCAGCTTTGTGATGATCCATCTGAACTAGACCCAATAATAATGAGAACTAATAGATAATAATAAGAAGAAAGGTATAGGTGACGTTATTGGTCGTAAACGTAATGCAAATGGGAAGAAAGAAAAAAGGACGAAAAGATAACTTGTTGTCGGCAGGCACCAAACCTGCGGCCTTGAAATTATGTGTACGATTCTTTACCAACTGAGCTACCATGTGCATTTAAACGTGGAAGCATCCGTCTGCGCCGCCAGTAGCCATGATGGCATGGGTGGAACACTCTTTTTCTGCCTGTTGGCATTGACTTGATAATAGCGAGGGTCTCGTTCTGGTAGGCTTGATGCTTTCAGGTAGTATGCAAGGAATTATTGGGCAGTTGCCAGCTCATAATAAGATAGCTTGCTATGTGACACCAATGGGCAGATAAAAAAAAGTGTTCCACACATGCCGCCACAAACCGGTGGTTGTCTAATATCCGTTTTTTTTTTACGCTGTCATGACTATTGGTGGTGCTGACTGACGCTCCCATGTTTAAATGCACATATACTCATACATTTTTCAGCCACTTCGTGTGAAACAAACATGGATAAAAGAAAGAGAACACATGGACGACCGCAATCTTTCTTTGTTGTTTTTTCTTCGTCCTTGTTTAGCACAAGGTTGCTAAAAGAGGAATTCGTTCCAACTAGGCCAGCTAGCAGTGCACCTATATACCCCATAAAGTAGACGGGGGGGATGGCCTCTATGGTAGCTCAGTTGGTAAAGCATTGGACTCGTTATTCGAAGGTCAAAAGTTCGGTCCCTGCCCATGGCAAGTTATTTTTTGTCCGTTTTTTTTTCTTCATATTTGCATCAAATTTGCTACTAATGACATCCCTCTACTTTCTTTGGCATTATTGTTTGTTAGTTCTAATTAATACTGTACTGACAAAGAAAAATGAGACCTTGTAATTTCCACTTCTTTCCTCCATCGGCAATAGGGCATTGTGCTATCATGGCAACCTTTAAAAGTATATGCACTAACCTAATAAATATATTGCAAACACATTTATATTTAAGCATGGTATGTATGTAAATGTAAATTCATAGCTGAGAAACTAGTGAAGTGGCACGATAAAGAGTGGTAATGACAAGGCTGTGTTTTCTTGACCCCTGTCCAGTTTTCCACAAAACCCATCTATTTATGTTTTTCATTTATTCATTGTTATAAAAATTACATACTTGCTAAATGCACATATTTTCACTGTGCCTTGAGGCAGTAAGTAGTATAAGAGCATTTGATCCAACAAAAATAAGTTTTTTGTTCAGACACAATTATGGAGTTGATAAGAAGTGCCTACTTTTTCTGTGTAGCCAGAGACTTTGCCATTCACTGGGCTATGCGATAACAATTTACAATTGTTAATTCCTTTCATTCTTTTCTATTTGTTTTTATGCCGTTATTTCTATAAGTGAGTTATGAACCAAAGTACTACTGAAGCTTTCCTGGTGTTGTTAGAATTTTATTTCTCATCTTTTTCCTTTAATTTTGAAGCATATAGTGTAACAACTTTTGGATATGCATGCATCAATTAATGGCATATTGATTAGATATTTGAATGGATGCATGTCACAGACTTTATTTATTCTATTTCCTGTGCAGGTTGACACAGCGCCTTCGTCTCATTTTCGCTGCAGACATTGTGGAAAACGGTACTGAATCTCTTGCTGATTGTCATCTCTTGCTGATTGTCATGATTATCAAGTTATTACTAACATCAGTGTTGCTTATGGATGAAAGAGATATACTAGTTTTCATTCACACAAATACACGCTGCTAATTTCAGACTTATCTTTCTGCAGCTGCTTGACAGGCAGTCTGGCCTCAAATTTTCTGAACACCACCTGTACAAATGGTTTTATTCACTGATGTGCAGAGAACACAAAGACTCCAGTGTAGAATTCAGACTTCACACGTAGAGTACGTTCACTATATAAATACAAGCAGATTTAGCACAGTAATTCGATATGAAGAGGCTGCTGGATGTTTTCCAACAAGATGGCCATTCTTTTCAAGCAAAAGAAAGAATGCAATGGTGCAAATTATTCGAGTAAATATGGTACATTTATTTTATAAACTATGCATCCAATTTGCCGAGGTTATTGCTATGCTTATTTCACTTAATAACAGTAGTCTCTCAAACAGGCTGCCTTCTAGAGGGCGTTGGCTTGGCTTCAACACGAGATTCGCGAAATAGAAAAATGTCTCTACCTCTGCAGATGAGCGCGGCTTCATGTTATAGCTAATAAATACCACAATGTCACCTGAAAAAAGCTTGGGCACTGGCTTTAAAAGAGATCTACTTTCTTGTGTACTATCTTCTCTATTCCATCGTTCGCATTGTCGAATGCTTTACCACATGGGTCATTCTGTGCATGTAGGGAACCTTTCACTGATCATCCTGTGTCGCCAACTGGTGGCTTGCCTTTGCTTGGCTTCGCACTGAAAATTTTTTCTTTTCCCCTTCTAAACATATCAGCTCAATGCCGACAAAAAGGTAGCAAAATACCCCATGTCTTGCACAGTAGCCCGATACATTCTATTTGTCAAAGTATTTCACTACAGAGATACGCATAATCAAAAGTATCTCTGAGAGACTATCGCGATATTCTTGTACTGCGATACTTCCCAGTCCTACTTGTAACACATGCATAGCGGTGGTCCAACTGCATCTTACTACACCATACAAGTGCACCCTGCATAAATGGTGGTGGAGTTTTCTGCTGCAACATATTCTTATTCTAGCGCCAAACCCATCAGTAGCTTTTTTATGATTACTGTGGAATCTATCACCTGTCCCTGTTTGCACCAATGCTTTTTTTTTTTCTTCTCAATATAATTGGACTAATCAAAGTATGTGCACATGACCTCCATCATTGATGATTTGACAGGTGGTCTGTAGTCTAGAAGCCCATAACTTTTTGTATGGAACTGATAATAATACGTAGACAAGTGACTTTTTTTTTTGGTCATGCAGTTTAGTTTTTTTTTCTTTTTATGTGTGCTCTAAATAGTCTTCATGCAAACAAAGATTCAGACGTGCAGTAGTTTGTTGATTTCATAAAAAAACAATAATAATAATAATATCTTATATCATGCACGCTGTGCAAAGTTCTTTGGTATACCAATCTAAGGCAAACTCGAAATCTCCCATGTTGCACACATCTGGACTGCCTCTCGAACGCATAGATGCGGTCGCCACAAGTCTTGATTGTGAAACTTACCAGGTGTGGTAGCAAACAAGCATGCATGGAAACTGAGTTGTAGATTTCTGTTGCGTAAATTGTGTTTGAGCAGCCAATATCATTGTGAATCACCAAAACAGGTCAGACAAGTTCTCAGCCTGCAAAACTTCTCAACTGATTCCCACATGTGTGTCCATAAATTGCACTATGACATGTCTTAAGTGGTGCTGCCACGTGGGTTTTTTGCTGCTCACAAACTGTGAAAGTGCAGATGCTGCATGCAGTGGCTTTCCTAAATCTTGAGTGCAATGAAGAATTAGTTCTCCAAATTATTGAACTGTGAAAGTTCTTAGGAAATAAACAGTATTTAGTCAGATGGGTTCTATAACTAATAACTTTTTTTCAAAGGGACACTAAAGAGAAACAATGAGCTGTTTCAGATTGATAAACTGTACTCTGAAAACTTTAATGCCCCCCGCAGGGGTGTCTGCGCGAGCAGGCGTTTGGTATGTGGGGACCCCACGGACCCGAGCCAACAGGGGGGTTTGACCCCCTTTCATGCTTAGCTGTGCGTGGCAAGCCGTGTCCGGGGAAAAGGGGATCCTGGGGGTTGAGTCAACGCCATGTGATTGGACTTCAAAGGCCCCGTGGTAGACGCAACATACACCTTTGGCCCTGGCTTCACATACACGGCACCCCTTGACTGACCCACCTTGGGAAATCGGCAGCCGCCTTTTCTTATCTCTTTCTTTCCCTATATCTTCGTCTTTCTCTCTCTTTTACTCTTTCCTCTTTTCTAGTATTTTCATTTACTTCTAGTTTTCCTGATGGGAAGAGTTAACCTCGTGTAGGTATCCAAACTCTGATAGTTATATGTTGTTGTAGTGGCGATGCATGGCTGGCATCTTTAGGTGTTCTTTATTCAACATCATCATCATCATCATCATCATCATCATCATCAGCCTAACTACATCCACTGCAGGACAAAGGCCTCTACCGTGTTCTGCCAGTCAACTCGGTCCTGTGCTTGCTGAGGCAACTTTATACCCGCAAACTTCTTGATCTCATCTGCCCACCTAACTTTGTCTCCCCCTAACTTGCTTTCCTACTCTGGGAATCCAGTCAGTTACCTTTAATGACTAGCGGTTATCCTGCCTACTCGCTACGTGTCCAGCCCATGTCCATTTCTTCTTTTTATTTTCAACTATGATATCCTTAACACCAGTTTGTTCCCTGACCAACTCTACTCTCTTCTTGTCTCTTAAAGGGGCCCTGAAACACTTAAAGTATCCACGAAATGAATTCATTGGAAGAGCTTATTGCCTCACAAATTGAACGCCGCAAAAATTTTAAGAATTCTTTCAGTACGAGCGGAATTACCAAGATTCGTCGCACGCTGCAATCGCATTCTCTCTTCTCTCGCCTCGACGAAAGTGCTGGTGCTAGAAGCTAAGCAGAGAGGAAAGGCTGAGGAAAAGAAAATATGTCACGCACGCCTCATGGCCTTGAGCACTTGTTTTTTTTTCTTAGAGTACGCTGCTTTTTCAGTGCGATCGCCCGCGCAGACGGGGACAAGTCACGGCCTTTCGTGGCAATCTCTGTAACAAACGAGCGCGCGCCCCGTTGCAGTGGTCTAGTGGCTAAGGTACTCGGCTGCTGACCTGCAGGTCGCGGGTTCAAATCCTGGCTGCGACGGCTGCATTTCCTATGGAGGCGGAAATGTCGTAGGCCCGTGTGCTCAGATTTGGGCGCACGTTAAAGAACCCCAGGTGGCCGAAATTTCCGGAGCCCTCCACTATGGCGTCTCTCATAATCGTATGGTGGTTTTGGGACGTTAAACCCCACAAATCAATCAAGCGAGCGCGTCATGTTTAAATCGGCCAATGGCCGATAGATCCCCTTCTACGAGTTATTTTTGAGCTTCCTCCATCATTTTTCGAGAGAACAGAAGCAATTTTTAGCTGAGTTTGATAATATATTTTGAATTTCAGGCCGCGGGCTTTGCTATGACATTTGGCTTGCGTGTTCTCGGGAGCCTCTACTACCGATCGGCAGTGTTTTCTGACCATGCTCAAAAAGTGTTTCAGGGCTCCTTTAAGTTTACCCCTATCATTGTTATTTATTGCTTGCTGGGTCGTTTTCAATTTAAGCTGAACCCTCTTTGCAAGTCTCCAGGTTTCTGCTCCATAGGTAAGTACTGGCAAGATGCAGCTGTTATATACCTTCCTCTTGAAGGATAGTGGTAATATACTAGTCATGAGTTAAGAATGCTTGCTGAATTTGCTCCACCACATTTTATTCTTCTAGTTGCTTCAATCTCGTGGTTCGGCTGTGTGGTTACAACCTGTCAAAAGTAGACGTACTCTTTTACAACTTCAAGTGCACTGCTACCTATCTCGAAGTGCTGTTCTCTTTGGAGTTGTTGTACATTTCTTTCGTTTTCTGCAGAATAATTTTAAGACCTATCTTTCTGCTCTCCTTGTCTAATTTAGTAATTACAAATTGCAATTCATCCCCTGAGCTACTCAGCAACGAAATGTCATCGGCGAAGCGCAGGTCACTAAGGTACTGTCCATTAGCTCTTTCCTCTAACTTTTCCCATTCTAGGCCTCTGAAAACCTCCTGTAAACACGTGCTAAATAGCAACTGTGAAGGAGATCATCCCGCCTACTCCAGATCATGCTCCGCATGAAAAAAAGAGGAACAAATATTAGAACTAAAATCAAATTAAACCTATCATTCCAAGAGGCACATCAATGGTTTTCTGCACAAAACCATTCTGATCTACTCTTCGCTCATGTGGCACGCCGGGGCTTTGTGCCACGTTTTTTGCCACCTGTGAGATTGACACCAAGTGTGACTGGTCTGCGCCAGCAGCGCTTCTGGCTTGAGCAGCCTTTCCTGCTCCGCCTCCTGCTCAAAAGGGCCAGCAGACTTCTGAGTCTGCCGAACCCTGGGCCACTGTAAGTGGAGTCAGGTCCGAAAGCACCATGGCACCACCTGCCGCCTTAGAAGAGATGATGGATACAAGCCGCACTTTTCCGGTGCCTCAGACCTTGAAGAAAAGGCGCAGCTTTTTGTAGTGCAACAAAAAAGAAAAACTAAATTACAGGGCCCCCAAGAGGCCCTACAACCTAAGGTGACAATGTTTGTACACACAGCACAAAACCACATTAAAATGGAGACACAAATACTGCAGTGGAATGTCGGAGGACTGCTGAGGAATGTTGACGATATCCAAGAACTTTTATACAAACATACACCAAAAGTACTGTGTGTACAAAAAACACACTTGCAACCAAAACACATAAACTTTCTAGGCCATTACATTATTTTGCGAAAAGGACCGTAATGATGCTGTTGCATCATCCGGTGGTTTTATCGTTATAATTAATCAAGCAATGACCTGTACACATTTACCGTTTCAGATGTCTTTTGAGGCAGTGGTCGTGCGGGCCATTATCTTG